CTTTAACGTGATATTTATGGCGCAATTTGAACAGTATATCCACTACTACTTCCAATGAATATGACCGACGGTCCACCTAACACTAATATACGATTCGCGTGTTGCTTTCTTGTTATCACAGGTACATACATTTGGTAATTAGTGGCTTGAAGGTCTTTGGTTAATGAACGACATACAACCTACTTGTCGCCAAGTGCAACACGTGCTACCTTTGGGCACAGTAGAACTTTCCGTATTTCCCGACCGAGGAGCGACAGAGCATCGACGGCTCGTTCTTCTTATAGTTAAGTTTTTATTTCATCTATGGCCAACTGCGACCTACACACACATGGACTCGGTCCTGATATACGATACACGATTCCAAACATTCGTTCCCATTTGATATGATGTAAAGTGGTTTGTTTGACTTGGATATTGGGGAGACAACAACGTCTGACGAGTTTCCGGCGCAATGTCCGCGACAACGTATCCAACTTTACCGTACAGCGTTTCAAGTGGAACTGAACTCAAATATGGTCTCCTCGAACCAACGCATAGTCACTCAATATGTTTTGTTTCATCAGAGCAACAACAAGCCACTGGCAACTAGTTGGGGAATAGGCGACGATGCTCTTCTCAGACTTTCACCAACAATTTACAGAGCGGAATCACTTCTAAAATCTGTCTAATTTTTCGGGGTCTAGGAAAATATTTCCATTTAAACCGTACAGGGTTTCAATAAAATATTCCATACTTTTAAATCGCATTTGCAATTACATGAACATCGAATTGGTTGAGGACATGCGCATTACGTGCTAAACTCTCTCCGCTGAAAACTTAATTTGTTCTCCTAAAGTGACGAATAACGGGAAGTTCTCGGAAGCTTTTATGGAACAGCTGTTGAATTTGAAAATAACGCTGGGAAATAAATTCCCACACAGCGTCACAAAAACATTGACTTTATTGAGACACTTCAATCATCACGGTGTTCATACAAGTGCTTCTCTGAAACGACCTGCCCGATGTTGATACAATTTGGTACTTGGAATCAGTGTACCTGCGAATACGTCGTCAATCACTAGGTGGTGAGGCTGTATGATACAGCCTGTATCACCTCCCAACACCCCTTTGAAAGGAAACGCTTCATCTCAGAAATTGTCAGACGTGTTAAATGGTAATTTAATACAACGTTTATGGATGTTAACTGTCAATTCCATTATACAGCTAGGCATTCGTTATTGTAAAAACATTTTAATAAATTATTTTAACGTCAAAACTGTACATTTTTGCAATTTGGGTTATAAAATTTAAAAAGCTGAACGTTCAAAATTCCTTAAAGGTTTAATGTACAAATCTTGCAACGGTTCAAGAAATCCAAAGTAAATCGTGAAGAACGCCACACCCCTTTCAAATCGAAATCAAAACATACACATACAATAGGCATTCTGCATTATACGACAGTATTACAAAATTGGGAGTATGCTTTTTTACCGTCAAAAAGTTCCCGCACCATCGGCTTAGAGTAAAGCTAAAGTTTATATTATGAGGGGAAAATTCCTACACTGCAGTGACGTGGAAGAATACCGTTTATGTGGGGGCTGAACGAAGACGGGGACCTGTACACGCAATTTTCTCACAAAGGCAGTAGCACAAGTTGTTTTGTTTATTTCACTTAAAAAAGTGTACATTTTGTCCATACAGACGTTGTAATACGCATTTTGTTTACAACTGAATTTGGAAAGAATACACAAATTAATTTGACATGTAAAGCCAAGAAAATGGAAAAAAATTGAAATCGATTGGTAGCAGTGCCCCACCTTGATTTCATTATAGCATACATAAGTTTGGCCAAGAAGACTAATCTTGACAACAATTTTGACAGCAAACTTAGTTGTGCATACTGCCCGACCTTATAATGCCATGCACAGAACCAAGGTGTATTTTATAAGGTGTAATCAACAATCGACATATTGTTTTCAACATGTTTCATTTTGGTCTGCAGTTTCAGTTGTCTATATCATTTTACACGTAGTCCTTCCCTGCAAGTAGGTTTCAAAATTAAAAATAACAAGGTGTGCTGGAAAAAGATACATTTTTGGTACTAAGTACAAGGCGTCTGGTCTTGAACAATAGGAAGTGCTCAGGAAAATATGTGACATTATCTAAATATACTATTCCTTAAGTGTTTTAATTGCTCACATATGTTATTATGTTGATCCTTGAAATTCCTTCTAGGCAGGCGGTCTTCGGTCACAGGTTTTATACACTCCGCCACACTATGAAGGGTTTATTAACATTGTCATTCTCATACTCATGTCTAACCCAACAAAGTATGCATGTTCTTGGCCAGCGTCGCTTTAGCGATGTCCGTCTGTCTGTTGTAATCACGCTATCTTTGGAACGAATTGAGATAGAAGGTTAAAAGTTTGCACATATGTTTTTTTTTTTTGTCAGTGGGCAGGTTAAGTTCGTAAGTGGACAAAATTGGTCCGTGTTTTCGTATATAGATCACCTTTTCTAACTTTTATTTTTTGATGTAACTTGTTCTACCTCCAGTAGCAAAGCATTGTCTAATTAGCTCCACGTTTTCTTATAGCCCCCATATAACCGTACCCCGATATTAGGTATTTTAGAAATGTAAACCACATATTTAACGGAATTGCTTATAATTCTGTTCATAGATTATATAAAGGGTTCTATTAGTTATAACAAAGCATTAACTCCACCTTTTCCTGTTGCCCTCATATAACGGAATTTCCTGATAATCGGTATATTGACGACTTATATCACATTTTCTAACACATATGTTAAAAATTCGCTTATATCTCCTGTGGCAGAGCATTGCCTATATAAAGCCACTTTTTCTTATAGCCCCCATATAACAGTACCTCCCCAAGATTTCAGCCACATTTTGAAATGAAATTGATTATTATTCGTATTTAGAGTTTTTAACAGGTTCTACCCGCTTATAGCATTTGTACCTTGCCAAAATAAAATAACTTGCATAAATAATAATTTATCGGAATTAGAAGAGTTTTTAGCACCCGCAAAAAGATATATGTCCGTTAAGAATTTGCAAATTGTCAACATTTTTTCTTTCGAATCCCTCTCGGTTTGGGTAACCAGGCAGACTAAATATTTAGTATTTCCATGTCAATAGCGTGTTTTCGTTTTTACACCGTACGTGGTTGTTGTCTATGCTATATAATTGGGAACACGTTTTTAGTTCTGGCAACACATTTGCCAGGGTATTTTTATATACACACACAACCACAAATAAATGCAAAAAATTAACAAAAATTACGTATTAAAAAAAACTTAATATAGAAACAATTGATGTTGGAAAATAAGCGTTATTCACACTAACTACTGCAAGAAAAATAATGCTTCTTTCAATGTATTATCATGAGCAAATAAGTTTTTTGCAAGAAAACTGTGAAAAGTAAACATACGGAATCCCTGCAAAAACTTGCAAGCAATCAGCTGGATTATCAAAATAAAGCAATTTGCCCGCAAATAAAAGAAATTAAGAACACAAAAATTAAAAATTAATCGAAAAACAAAACTTGCGTTTTTCAAAATAAATATCTTTTGAAATTTCTTGCCCAACTATACATCACCCGAAAGGAGAAGAAGAAGAGTTGCAAGTGTTTGCAAGAAGGAATTTATCCAACAGGGATTTTCTGGATACTGCCAAAAGTCCTTTCTCTTTTTCAGAACGTTTGTGTTAGCAGCGGTGCTCAAAACCGTGTTCTAGAACATGAAGAGAAAAAACAGATAATTTAAGAGAAAATTAAAATTCTGTTTTTCTTTATATTTTACGGTTCTATTTAATTGTTTTTAAACACGAATGTTTGCCAAAATAATTTAGAAAGCAAATGGATAAAAAATATTTGTATAAATAATGACTTAATACTGTATTGTTCTTGATTTAAATAAGCAAAGAGAAATTTGACTGAAAAGAGATATTTCTTCTTGAGCACCGCTGGTGTTAGCAAACGGCTTCCAGTAGCAATTGTAACAAATTTTAGGGTAACCAGATACACCTATGGGGTAACTAGACACACCTTTCCTCTGCGGAAATATTTACGACTTTGGAGTATATGGCAATACTAATGCCGTGCAAATGCTGTACACAAAGAGGCCTCCCATTAGTATGTGGATTTAAAGTAATCCGGTGGTGGGAAGATTTATTTTTGTATGGTAAATCTGGTTGAATACACCCGGATTAAGCAATGAATTACGATAATGTGGGTTGATCCGAATAATATTTGTATCTAAATAAATACAAGTTTAAAATTTATTTAATTTTGCATGGTAAGCATGGCAGAAGAATACAGGTAGATGCATCAAAGCTTGGGATGTTTTTTCAAATATGAGTAGGTTTTTAAATGTTTTCTATACGACGTCATTAGGAGGTTATTATAATTCGAGTTTTTTAACAATTTTTACAAATTTAAATAATTTTTCATTTAACATTTTCAATTCCAAAATTGGTTTGACAGTTCATTGTCCCAGCAGCTGTGTTGATGCGTCTACCTATATTCTTCTACCATGATGGTAAGTCATGATAAACTCGGGAGGATTAAGAACTTAAATCGAGATAATGGTATGGTCTAAATGTGATTTTGCTTCGAACATTTGTTCGTTGAACGTATTACGGTAACATTAATATAAATGCATGTATTCAACTCATCACGTATTAGGTAGGGGTGTTTAAATTAGAAACAAGATTTTTGTCAGTGTACCATGACTTAAGTTTTTAATATTACAGTTTTTTTCCTACAATGTTGACTGTAGAACAATTAAGATATTTTCTGTGTGCCGCTGCTTTCTTTCGGCATGTAGTATTATCGTTGTACGGGATTTATCAGACAGAAGTTATCATTCGTCAGTGAATAGTCGTGGGATATCATTTCTAGTGATGAACATTTCGCGCCGTTATGTTTTAAATGAAGTCGGCGGCCTGTCGCTTAATGAATGTAGATCTGACAACGGCGTGAACATACATACGACCTTCAAACAACCTTTTACTTTGACGTTTGTTATCTATAGATTATTTGGAATATAAGTCGCATTTCAGTCGTCCTCCTCCAGAAGAGAAGCAGCGGCAGCAGACAGAACAAGGAGTTTGAATCGCTATATATCTATTTTTATATTTTCTTGGACTACTTTTGCGGTAAGTTCTCCAAAAATAGTGAAAGTGGTAAAGTGTACATTGTCCACCAAAGGAATTTTTGTGAGCAATGCCATACGATTAACGCGAATTTCAGGCAAAAAATAGAGTGTGTTTGTGTAGTCACGTCAGAAAAGTGTAAAAACAATTACATTGTATTTCGTAATCGCAACCAATTGACCCGTGGGAGATCGCAGTCCGCCCTCCCACATCTGTTGTAGGAGAGTTCGCTGTATACAAATAACTCTGGTGTAAATAACTCTGGTTTGAAATGGGAACTTTTTTATTTTGGAAATTATTTCAAAGCAGTATTTCATCCATGTTGTGTTTTCCGCAATGAGATTGCAGCTGGAAAATAACCGTATAAACTGGTATAAAATACGTCTTTGATAGGTACGCAAGGTTTCAAACATGTCTTCAGTTTTTAAAATATTCATTCAACATATGTATGTATACGCAACGTGGTATTCAAATGAAGTGTATACATGCATGCATACATACAAACACCTTTATCAGCATGTTATTTTGGCAAAGCATACAAGTTTTTCATCCAGCTTTTAGCTTGAAACACAAGTTTTATTAGCAAATCTGATGGCTTTGACTGAGAACTGGAAGGAAATAGTCAAACCTATAGTATTGAATTGATTCATATCTTCGATTCCTTCTTAGAATTTTGTGAGGCCGGATCTCGTTGGAAATGTCCAGTGGTTTTCTTATTATACAGTTTCAAAAAGGGTTCGATATTTTCTGTTAGGGAACAAAGAGTGTTTAAAACAGTGTCAATGTCAATAGTTCGATTCACTAATACTTTAAAGACAGTTTTTAAATGCCGTTCGAAAGGTAATGATTTTTGTCGTAAACGGTGTAAAGGACCAAGAATTACATTAGAGGTCTAGTGTTATTGCTATTATATTTCAAATGACCAGCGGTGGACGCCGTTTTTTGAAGTACACAAGCCGAATTGTTTTGGGGACACCCTAAGAAATCGCATTTTGTTCATTAATATGTCTAGCTTTTGTAATGTTTACGAAAACATATTTGTTGCAGAGCTATTTAAAAGAAAGTAAAAGTTGTTTTCTTGTATATAAACAATGCATCTTCAGTGTATAAGTATCTAGATAGGTATATGCAAAAGTGTGTGTCTGTGTGAATACGGACATATTGGCATTTATGACTATAAAGAAAAAAACATTGACATGTGAAGAATACTGGACCGTGTATTCAATGTCAAGGTGTCAGCATATACGTCTATCCAGCATCACCCTATATAATACGTATACACACATACGTATTAGTGACTTCGGCAGATACACAGTACACATTCGGCCAAACATAGAAGAATGTTGCGCTCTCTTTATGAGCCTGCAACATTGAAATAAATATGACCTTTTCAATGTCACACAAAACGTACATAGTTGAATTTCGAACTACCCCACAGGTCTTTCCACCCTCATCTTTGTTACCAAAGACTATACATTAATGAATATTGTGCCTAATTTCGTTGTTCATTCATTTTGTACACAAAATGAAAAATCTGCAGCGCATGATCCGGTTTTTTACTAAATGATGTGAGTGGAGAAAGTAATAGGGATGGGGTACTAAAAAGGGCTGGAGTTTTGAATATTTAAGCAAAATGAAATGCCTGATTGTTACATCAGTCTTCAGACGAAAGTTACCCAAGCAGGTTGTACTCAAATCAAACTAAGCCCTATATTTCATAGAGAAAAACGGTTAGTATCTGTAAGTCTTAACAGCAATCCCATATTCTTTTATTAATAGTAACTATTGGATATTATAGACAGATATTTAAGAACGGTTGTTTAGTAAGTGTAACGCTATATTAGATTAGATTATTTATAGGAAAAAGTGAAGATAAGATATTGATTTTGGAAACCAAACATAAAATAGGTAATTCAAATTTAAACTTATAACAACGTTGGTATAGATGTATGTAAAGAGATCTTGCCCTTCTTTAGAATTATTTCCATGATAGGCGTGTACATAATTCCTACGTACCTGCGTAGTAAAACTTTTCCAGCGATGCGTAATTACGAATTTTATACATAAATAACTTGAAGTTTGCAAAGTTAAACAATTAAATATACAACATTTAATACACAAATAACTAGTTTCCGCTTTACAAATATGTATATCAGAATCAATTATTATTACTTATTTGTTGAAATTTCACATTTCGATTCTCCTTTTTATTGCAGAAAAAAAATCTCAAGATGACTACCTACTTCAGCTATCCCTCCGAAGAATTGCAAAAGGAACTCAGCCGCATTGCACAGGCAATTGTTGCCCCCGGCAAAGGCATCTTGGCTGCTGATGAATCTGTTTCGACAATGGGAAAGCGTTTGAAGGATATCGGTGTCGAAAACACTGAAGACAACCGCCGCCAGTACCGCCAACTTTTGTTTACTACTGACCCCAAAGTATCTGAAAATATCTCTGGTGTTATTTTGTTCCACGAGACATTGTACCAAAAGGCTGATGATGGCACTCCCTTCGTGGAATTATTGAAGAAGCGAGGTATTATCCCCGGTATCAAGGTCGACAAAGGTGTTGTACCATTGATGGGCTCCGAAGATGAATGCACCACCCAAGGTTTGGATGACTTGGCCAGCCGCTGCGCCCAATATAAGAAGGACGGTTGTGATTTCGCTAAGTGGCGTTGTGTTTTGAAGATTGGCAAGAACACCCCATCTTACCAATCCATCTTGGAGAACGCTAATGTTTTGGCTCGTTATGCTTCTATCTGTCAATCGCAAGGCATTGTTCCCATTGTAGAGCCTGAAGTATTGCCCGATGGTGACCATGATTTGGATCGTGCCCAAAAAGTAACAGAAACCGTTTTGGCTGCTGTGTACAAAGCTTTGAACGACCATCATGTATTTTTGGAAGGTACTCTCTTGAAACCTAACATGGTAACAGCTGGCCAATCCTGCGCCAAAAAATACACTCCTGAACAAGTTGCTTTTGCAACTGTGACAGCTCTGCGTCGCACCGTTCCCGCTGCCGTTCCCGGTAAATGAAAATTGTAATTATAGCAGCATTGGTCTTGAACTAGATTTCCATTTCAGGTATCACCTTCTTGTCTGGCGGCCAATCCGAAGAGGAAGCTTCTGTTCACTTGAACGCCATTAACAACGTTCCTCTGTTGAAACCATGGGCATTGACCTTCTCATATGGTCGTGCTTTGCAAGCTTCCGTCCTCCGCGCTTGGGGTGGAAAGAAAGAAAATGTTGCTGCTGGACAAAATGAATTGCTTAAACGCGCCAAGGTAAGTACAGCAGAAAAATTAACGACATTCACGATTGCAATGGGTTATATGGGATCAATAACGACATAAACGATGTAAGGGTTATCCTAATTCCAGTCAATTTACGATGCAACTGCCTTAAGGTTGAATGACAAAATTATGACATTTGAAATGTGATATTTGGACAACTTACTCGCTCATTTGGCGGCAATGTTATGGGAAATGGTTGCCTTCATTACTTTCTTATGCATTTACTGTAAATCGGTGTTTGAATGCATATTTTATATTTTTATTTGTTTATTTTTTTCACATTCGTTTTTATTATTTTGTATTGCATGTACTTTACATAATTTTTGTTTCCTTTCCAATAATATAATCATCTAACTGCACATACAAATCATCGTCTAGAGATGATAGTACATATTTGCGTATTCGATGACATTATATACACCTAAGTCTCATAAATTGTACCAAATCTGTTATTTCCTTTTTTCGAAATGACGTCTCCCATTAGTATATATTTATTATAAAAGATGCACCTTTGGAATGGAAACTTTAATATAATTATTCTTTTTTTTTTTTTTTTGCATGAGTTAACTTATTCATATTATCCTTATTAAAAGAGGGCAGCAGATTTATACATAGTAGAAAAGCTACATTTACAAACTCACGCATTTGAGATGAAACCTTACAGAAGTCAACCTAAAATCATCTTTATAAATACGCACATTAATATGTACAATCATAATTGCATCATGCCTTGATATTGTTTCTGGTGGCTTTTTATTTTTTTTTTTTATTTTATAATTTATTTTTGTTCATTATATTTTATTTTTTTTACAAAATGCAGGCAAACGCTCTTGCATGCCAGGGCAAGTATGAAGCTGGCTCAATTCCGTCGTTTGCCGCAAATGCAAGTTTATTTGTAGCCCAGCACAAGTACTAAAATTTACAACACTAAAAATTGGCCTTCCTCTCTCGCATATATTATTATGAAGGAGAACCGATGACGACATTCCCCATGTGTTTCCCCGTTGGAATTTTATACATTACTGAGCAGGCTTTTGCAGTTTTGATTCCCAGACATGACCTTTCTCTATAATTTAAAACAAAAACAGTACGCTTAGATTATGCATTGACTTACCTATTTTGACACTAAATAAGAAATGCGAATTTGGAATAAGATCTAAATTTACCTGGACACCTATATCTAAAGCGTTTTGAAATTAGAGAGACTGCGGAGCTTTTGTCCTCTTTGTTCTGATTGTGCAATTCAATTTTTAAAACTTATATATATTTTTTAGGGTAATGGCGAAGCTGCTGTTGGTAAATACGTTGCCGGCAGTGTAGTTGGCGCTGGTGCCGACGCTACACTATTCGTTGCCAATCATGCCTACTAAATGGTAGGTCAACCTGTTCTAAATGACAAGAGATTGGAAGTTAATTGTTTGGCAATTTATTTTTAAGTAATACATACATTTAGCCTATTATTTGATGGAGACAACAACATTGTTTAGAAATTTAAATGTCTATATTAAGCAAAAAACTGCAACGTCAACGCGCAACCAACTTGTTTAAATTTTATCGTTAAGTCCACGCTATAAACATAGAGTACCTTCATCTGAAATCAATAAAAAACATACAAAAAATAAGCTTGAACATTTGATTCAAACAGATATTGTTTGTTGTTACTCAGATATATTTGTTAATACTCTTAGTGCCGCCATATTAGTGTAATACCATGGCCTACATAAGATCGGCCAGTATGCCCATCTGACAACCAAGTTTGCCGTCAAAAGAAATATAATGATTTGAAATTCAAAGAGAATCAAATCACGATAGTGCAAAAACTACTAAGTTTGTTGTAAAATTGTTGTCAAATGTTATATTCTTGGCAGACCTTATGTAGGCCTTGTGCCATACGTAGAACTAATGTCTTATATATTTTTTTAAATTCGATTCATGTTGGATGTTGTGACCATAAAACATTTCAGGTAAGAAGGAAAATAAGGTCAAAGCTTTTACGTCCCAATTCTAAATATTCACTAACTCGCTTTATTTTAAAAGAATTTTTTTTTTGAAAATGCTGGTAATTTGCATATATAACTTTGGGTGAATTTTGAAAATTATCAATTTTTATAACGTTATTAGTTGGTAGGTTTCACAGCTTAGCATAAAATTTAAAATTTCAAAGTAGAACATCTTCAACTTTGACAATTAATATTAATTTAATTTTTTAATTTAAAAATTAATTTTTTTTTTTTTTTTTTTGAAAAAAGAAATCAATACAAAAAATGTGAACATTTGTAATCGGAATTCACATTTTTTGTATTATTCATTTATATTTTCAACACACAAAAATGCAATAGTTTAATTGTCAATGTTGAAAATTTTCAATTTCTCAAATTGTATGGTGAAAAACGTCGATTGAGTCGTAGAATTTTGGTTAACACTTTTATACAAAAAAATTGAATGTTTGTAATTGAACAAGTAAAAAAGCTTTAAATTCGGCAGGGCCGGACTTTGAATAACATCCACCATTTGGAACGAATTTGGCAATTCTCAGAAACTATAAAATCCGTTAAAAATTCTGTTAAAATCTTAAAAATACCGAATGTAGCTGTTATATTTGGGTCTATACGACGACATGGACCGGCATAAGTTTCTTTTGTCATAAGCCATTACAATATTCAAATGCGAAACCTAAAAACACGGTGAATAATGTAGCTAAAATCATCGAAATACCGAATATCGGGAGGTACCGTAATATGGGGGCAGTACGAAGACGTGACATGTAGAACCAATTTTCTGTATTAGGCTGTAGTATCCATTACGAACTTCAAATACCAAATATCAGGAGGTACCATTATATGGGGGGCTATACGAAGACGTGGACCTGCACAGACAATTTTCTGTCTTAGACTGTAGTATCCATTTCGAACTTCATATACCAAATTTGAAACAATTCCGGTGAATAATGTCGATAAAATCATAAAAATATCGGGAGATACCGTTATATGAGGGCTATACCAAAATGTGGACATGCAAGGCCCATTTTCAATAAAAAAAAAAGTCCTGCAGACATAATATACATTTGAGTAAAATTGTATAAATCTACTTCATTTCGTGATTAGAGTTATTTCCACAGACGGACAGAAGGATAGACGAACGGACATCGCTAAATCGACATAGAATTTAATGCTGATCAAGAATATATAACTTGTGGGTCTAAAATGTATATTTCGAGGTGTTATAATCGGAATGATACCCTCCATACTATGGTGGAGGGTATAACAATACATACATAACAACTGGTGAATTTTGAAAATTATCAGTATTTACAACGTAAATAGTGGACAGAATTTAAGGTATGGCGCATTTGGATATTACGGACGTACAAAACATTTTACAATGGGGGGAAGTTCAATATTTTAAGTAACGCTGCAGTGTTTAAAATTGTAAAAACGCGGTTTGCCTGCGGAATTTTTTATTCAGTGTAAAAAGAAAAATCAACAACGTGCAAAAAACTTTAACCTGATTATGCAATTTTAAAATGTTCTACAAGATGCTATAAAACTATGCGTGTCTTTTACTCGACGCTACAAAAAATTTATTTAGTATTGGGTTTCAACCAAAATGACAGCAAAGATGTGGACTAAAACGTTTTAATGTCTACCTCTCCCGGCAGATGCCACCATAGACAACGAAAAGTTAGTTTTGTTTTTGTGTGTAGGTGGCTCTCAGTACGTTTTTCCACAGACAAAATCAGTGGGTTGCAATCAATCAGTCGGTCAGATGTAACATGTTCATTCGAGTTGCACAAGCCAAACGAAAAAGTTGTGATCAAACATGTATTGATCGAAGTTTTGTGTTCGCAATCAAACAGTCACATGAGTTGTTTGTTTACGAACTTATGTTGAATTGTTCATAACGGGTCGATCATCTGTGATAAGTCTGATCGGTTTGATTCATCCTAGATAAGTGAGTGATTTGATTAAAACACAAATGTTCGAATCTGAGCGAAATCATGATAGTAATTTTAATAAGGATTTCATACTAAAAGCTGTCTCCATTAAAGAAATCGATACAAATTATATTTAATAAACAGACATTTTTTCATTTTATTTGGGTTTTTGGTCTTTTAGAATTCAGAATTAATATTTTAAAAAAAGAAACACATCATTGGTATTCAGTAAACAAAAAATTTTTAAGTATTTTTTTATTTTACAATATTGGTCAAGATTTTTCACAAACATCGACCTTTTCGTTTACATACACGTGTGTAGTTTCTACTTGCAACAATTTCGGTCGCACTAAAAGTCAAAATAAGCTGTCCCAACTTGATTGAATAAACAATGACGCTGAGCGAACTCGATTCAAAGAAGACAATCACTGTTGTGATTGCAGTGTTTGTTTGTGAGTGAAGTGATTCAAACTCAGCGTTCGATTCGATCCGATGCGAAAACGGTCATTTCATTCAGATCAAACTAAACAAATGCATCAACTAAAATCATGTAAGAAACCGAGTGTGGTTATTGTAGCAGTAGTACATGCATGTGTTCGCGTTCTGCTGTTGAGTGAGTTGGGTAGGTTTGGCTGTGCAATTAAAGAGGTGTAGCGTATTGTGCGGGCCTGTATCGCACGCCGGGCCAGGCGTCACGCACATCCTCTTCAATTCGTGCCCAATACGAATTGAGACGACTACACCATCCGAGGACGGCATTCACTTTATAACTGCTTATAGCATCCGCGACTGCATCGGTAAGAATACCACTCAGACCTGCCTGATAGGCTTCTTGATCTAGAGGTTCTCTCTTGTAGCGCTGGTCCTCTCTCTTTAGATCATGTATGTCCTTCCTGACACGCCTGGGTGGGGGAGATTTATCCACCATATGATGGTTGGGATGACTCTCACGGTAACACCCAAGCACGGTAACGAAAGCACATGATTATGCTGACGTAAGGGAAGGACTTTCGCCTCCTCATGTAGATGGTCCACTGGTGTCATGAGAATGCACCCTGTCGCAGTTTTCGGGGCAGCGTTCTGGCAGGTCTGGATATGCTTCCACTGCGTAGCACTAGTATTCACAGACCACACTGGAGCCACATAGCTGACCACAGACCGACCTATCGCGTTATAAGAGGTCAACATGGTTTCTTTGTCCGCACCACAAGAGCTTTTCATCTTGTCGCAGATAGCTGTGGCTTGCGCGGACGACTTGAACATGCTGTCGAACGTGACCCCAAGAATCTTGGGGTAGTTCGTGGTCGGTATTAGATTCCCCTCGACCTGAACATTCAGCTGTGTTCTAATCTACGCAGACCATGTGGTAAAGAGTGTGACCGTTGATTTCGTGGTGGATATTTTTATATTCCTCGCGTGGAGGTATGCGGCAAGTTCCGCGAGATAGGGGTTCAGCCTTTCGCATATTTCATCGACCACTGGGCCAGACGCCATGATCGTACAATCATCCGCATACGTTACGATCTCAATGCTGTCTGGAGGGCGAGGAATTCCGGAAAGGTAGAGGTTAAACAGTTCCGGAGATATCACCCCACCTTGGGGAACTCCCTGTTTCACTCTACCGGCTTTGGACTTCTTGTTTCGGAATTCCACGCACGACTGGCGTCCACACATATAGTTGATTATCTAACGTTTCAAACTTGGCCGGAGAATAGTTCTCTGCACGTCCTCAAACAGTGTGGCATGATTGACCGTATCAAATGCCTTTGATAGGTCAAGGGCTACCAACACTGTTCTGTCACACGGCCTGTTCTGGTTCAGTCCTCTACTAATATGTGTGGAAATGGGGTGTACTGCTGTTGTGGTCGGAATCCGTGCTGGTGGTTGGCAACTGTATAGCTTCCTCTAATGCTAGGGAGGAGTAAAGCCTCAAGATTCTTAGCTATTGGCGACAAAAGCGAAATCGGCCTGTACGATTTGCCTTTACTGGCATCCTTGCCTGGCTTCAGTAGCGGGACCACCCGGCCCAATTTCCAGGATTCGGGCACTATGTGGGTGGCTAGCGACAAATTGAGAACTTTCGTTAAGTACTCGACTCCCGGCGTATCCAGCTGCTTCAACATTCCGTCCGGGCACAAAGCTTTGGATGACTGCGTTACGGATGACATTTGCAGCATCACCCATCGTAAACTGTGGTGGTTCCTCCTCGGCGGGAAGAGATCTGATACGACGTAGTACTCTTTGCATCGCCCTATCGATCTCCGGGTGCTCGACAAATTGTCGGTTAAAATACTCTGCGCACCTCTTCGGGTCAGTCACCATTACGTCGTTAAAAGTGACTGAGGTCCTATCATCCTTTTTTTCCAGGGTTCGAGAGCGGCCTAACCGTTACCCACAGCTTACTCATATCGGTTCCAATGTTGCAGCACTTTAGATGGTCTAGCCACTTTTTCCTCTTATGCTCCTGTACCAACCGGTTGACTTCCATTGTCAAATCACGGATATTATCACGCTCGTTTGCTAATCCCGCTGCCTCTGCTAGTAAGTTTGGTCTTATCTCGGGTATTCGACCAGCAGGTATATAGCGAGCGGCTGCAGCTTTGATGATGTTTCGGAAAATCCTTTCTGCTACCCGAACATCAGAAGGGTTGGGCAGTTCTCTGACGCGCCGGTTGGTGAATTCTCTGAACTCTGGCCAGTGAGCTTTCCCAT